ATGAGGGACAGACGAGTGAACACACGCAAGGCATCTAGAACAGTGCCTGGCACACGGCGATGCCACGCGGGTGGGAGCCGCCGCTGTTCGGATAACTGTGATCTCACCTAGCTGGACTGGAAACTCGGAGATCTTTTAAACATAGACACTCTTTTCAATTTTTTTGCATCCTTTCCCCATTATTTCCTGGAATAGTGTTATTTCAAGGCCCTCAAATATTCATTGACTAAATAAATGAATGACTCTTATTTGAGAAGCTTGTACAGAAGGAAATTGCTGAGCATGTGATTGTCACTTATATGGCAACCAGCACATAAATGTCCATGGCTCACTGTACCTAGCACTTAATCCTGTTTTGTTAAGAGGGGAGAATATTTGTCTTAAAATTAGTCTTCTAGAATAGCACAGGAAGGCCTTTCACCTCCACTTAACAAAGCGACTTGTCAGTTAGACAAAAAGAAACTCACCTTGATATATAATAAGGAAACCTGAGCCGACTGGGTAAGAACATCGGAACTAGGCTACTGAGCCTTGCGACTTACCATCAGCCCTTTTGTAACATACTACGTGTGCGTAATATAAAAATAAACTGCATTAGGTAACACATTTCTTCAAAGTGCTAAAGGAGATGTGTTTGAACCCTTAAATAGCAGTTGTCCTTGTCCATTCTCTTGGGTGTATCGAATGAGGCTTTTATTTCTCTGGAGATTTACATGGGTCTGGGGTCTTGTGGGACTGAGAGTATAAGAAGCAATTTAGCAAATAATGAAAACACTTGTCCTCCCAATGCCATCCTCTCTCCTGCCTTGAATGTTCAACCTATCCCCTTCAACAGGAGCCTTCCCATCAGCATTTTAAAATGCTTATAGGTTTCTTCCATCTTAAAACAAAACAAAACAAAACTGCCCCCTTCAGCCTCAATTACTCTTCTCCTACGCATAGCTAAATTGTGGGAGGAGCGGTGCACTTACTAGTGCCATTTCCTCACTTCCCCCATTTCCTCAAGCCACTCCACTTTGGCTATTGCTCTCTCAGTCCACAAAAATGTGCAGCCAGTGACTTCCCTGCCACTCAATGTCCTGTTCTCATGTCCAAGACCTCTCTCAACTTCTCACCCACATTTCCTCATTCCTAGCCCCCCCCTTGCAGTTGCTAATGTCAACAAAGAGGGAGTAACTTTCCACACCTTTCTGATACATACCCATATATATAATTCATAGGCATGTGTGTTTATATGTTTGCTTTTTCTGAAATACCGTTCACATTACTTTATGATTTCTTATTTCATTTGACATTATATCCTAGGTAGTCTATAAATCAGAAGATACATTTCTAGCTCTACCTTTAAAATTTTAAAATTTTAGTATATAAATGTATATTCAGACATAACTGAGTTTTAACACATTAGAGCAAGTCATTATATTTTTAGAAATTAGAGAGAAAAACTAGATTTTGCACTGGAGGGGGGGTCCTCTTGAGAGTTTCCAGTGGAGCAGGACCAGTAGTGGTAGAAGTTTCAAGTGCATAGACTTCAGCTAAATCAAGGCAAGGCAAGTACAATTTACCCTGGCCTAGGGCCCCACTCCAATGGAGCCATTTTACCTTTGGAGTCACTAAACAGCTACCTGAAAGTAGTTGTTACATTATCTGTGTTTTGGGTCTAAATATGAACTTCAGGCCAGCTGGTGGCTCATGCCTATAATCCTAGCACTCTGGGAGGCTGAGGCAGGTGGATCACTCAAGGTTGGGAGTTCAAGACCAGCCTGAGCAAAAGCGAGACCCCGTCTCTACTAAAAATAGAAAGAAATTAATTGGCCAACTAAAAATATATAGAAAAAATTAGCCGGGCATGGGGGCACATGCCTGCAGTCCCATCTACTCGGTAGGCTGAGGCAGGAGGATTGCTTGAGCCCAGGAGTTTGAGGTTGCTGTGAGCTAGGCTGATGCCATGGCACTCTAGCCTGGGCAACAGAGTGAGACTCTGTCTCAATAAATAAATAAATAAATAAGAACTTTATAAATATCTCACACTGCTAAGCAAAATAAGGTATAACCCTAACACCTTGAAAATAACCACGCAGTCTCCTTCAGAGCTATCACCTTGGGGAGTGATAACCACATTTCAATAACAATGCTACTACTCAAAGGATTCTTAGAAATTTACTTTCTCTCTTTCCTTCAATTTTAAAAGACAGTTATAAAAATAATGCCTTCCCTTGGTAAAAGCTGAGTAAAGTCTAGCCCAGCTCCATGTTGCCAGGACAGCCCTGGGTAACACCTGCCACCAGCTGTGAGGATTCAGGGAGGCACAGCCTGTGATCTGACCTGGGTTCACCAGGAAGAGTTTTGCCTCGAAATGACAGATCCTTTCCTTAAAGCTTCCCAACTAAACTTCTTCTAGGAATTGTAAAAAGAAAATCAAAGTCTCAGGGCCACCCCCTCAACTCCTTATGCAAAAGAGAAGATAAAAGCCTCAGGCACGTGTGAAGAGCAGGCCCCACAGATAATTCATTTAGGAAATTTCTTGCTAACCTCCCATAAGCAAGGACATACACTTCATACCCATGTCTAGCACTGAAAACAAAGCCTGTTTGATTCCACACCTATAATGAATTACAAGTTTATCTTACAGGTAAGGGAACTGGAGACAAGACAGAATCAGACATTCTTTCACCTACCCGGGACATCCACATACTTGATGTTTTCTTCACTCTCTTGTTTTATGTGAAATGTATTATAGATTTCTTGGGTCTCATAAGAATGTAACCACTACCTCATCAGCCCTCTTTCTACCTCCCTGCCTTTTTCCTTCCCTTAAATGAGATGATTTCTTAAAATGCTTATGGTTCCAACCTCCCCTTTGAAAAACAGCCTCAGGTTATCTCCTGTTCCTGTTTTTCCCAGGTGCATCCTCAAAGTCTTGACTTAATAGCCCTTTACCGATTGAGATTTTTGCCTCAGTATTGAAGAGCCGCACACACATGTGGTGACTTATGATAGTCAAGGTAAGACTGCCTGAGTCACTGAGCTGGCTTCCATCCCAGGGGTTGGCAAACCATGGCCCATGGGTCAAGATGCCTGTTTTTGTAAGGCCTGCGAGCTAAGAACAATAGTTTTCCATAGTTTTCTGGGAACATAGCCCGTTCATCCATTTATGTACTGTGGATAACTACTTGTGTTATAACGGCAGAAGTGAGTGGTTGAAACAGAGATGGAGTGGCCTGCGAGGCCTAAAATATTCAATGTCTTCCCCTTTACAGAAAATCTGCCTACCTCTGCTCTTAACCAGATTTTGCCCCCATGAGCCCTGTGTAACTCAGGCTGGTGTTTTTCCCCTCTGGATCCACCTTTGTAAACAAAGGGGCCTGGAGAAGATGACGGCCAGGGTCTCTCTCTGTACTTGGCAGGAGGAGCCGGCAGGAGCGCCCACTGTTGCCACCTGCAGCCCAGGACGGAAACGGCAGGCAGGCAGGCAGGCAGGCAGGCAAACGGTGGCTGACTGAGGAACAATCATGTCACAGATCTCAGCATGTCCTCTTTGGTAGGGGCTGTTAAGTAACTATCTCTCCCAACTGGTGCGATCAATGATCAAAAACCTGGCTTTTACACATTTTTTAAATCGACATACTAAGACTCCAAATAAAACTACATCTTCCAGCATCCACTTTCGGAGTGAATGTCCCTCCCCCCCCCCCCCACGTCAGGAGAATCTACCCTGCAGCACCCACGGCCGGAGCCACTGCTGCCCCAGAATCGAAGGCAGGCAAATCATATATTACCAGACAACACGTCTGTTCTGTTCTGTTCTGTTCTGTTCTTTCTGGGTCTCCGAAGGAAAAGCAACACAAAAGCTTGTCATCTGAAAACTTATCTACAGTCCCAAGCCACCACTCTTTACATCATTTCATTACTGAGTCTCTGTGGAAAATTCATTTGGTTCAAAGTGTTTAACTTTTGAACCTTAACACTCTAAAACACCAGGCAAGCAGGTTTTTCATATCTGAGGAAACCCATATCAAAAGGATGCAAATAACAGTAAAGTGATAACCAAAACCAGGACCCCTCACCCCAGAGATTCTCACCATGAGCCTCTGTGCCCAAGACAGGGAGAGGCTCTGGTCTTTCAAAGCAAAAAGCTCACAGCTGAAGAACTGCTATCTTTCAACTCCCTATAGAACCCAAATGATATGCAGTGCTGCAGCTCTGCTTTCTGCAGTGAACCCACTGAAGTGTGCAATCTTCAAACATGGCCACTAACTCGTCCCACCCCTCTGCCCTTCTGTAGTTCCTATTAGTCCCTCTGCAGAGTCTGTCTCCATCCCCCAGTCCAGACTGGCCTTATGAGGCGAATGTGGCGGAAGTGGTGTTCTGCGACTTCTGGGCCCAGAGAGGATTAGAGGCTTTCACTTCTTCCCTCTTGGAGCCCAGCTACCGGCCTACGAGGCGGCCCAGGCCAGCCTACGGAGGGAGAGGGCTCTGGGGGTGACAGCCAGCCTGGACCCTGATGCTGCACTACCCAGCGGAGCTTTAGGCAACCCACAGAACTATGGCAGGAATTAAAAATCTCCACTCTGGGCCGGGCGCGGTGGCTCACGCCTGTAATCCTAGCTCTCTGGGAGGCTGAGACGGGCGGATTGTTCAAGGTCAGGAGTTCGAAACCAGCCTGAGCAAGAGCGAGAGCTCGTCTCTACTATAATAGAAAGAAATTAATTGGCCAACTATATATATAGAAAGAAAAAAATTAGCGGGCATGGTGGCGCATGCCTGTAGTCCCAGCTACTCGGGAGGCTGAGCAGGAGGATCGCTTGAGCCCAGGGTTTGAGGTTGCTGTGAGCTAGGCTGACGCCACGGCACTCAACTACTTGCCTAGCCAACAAGTGAGACAAAAAAAAAAAAAAAAAAAAAATCTCCACTCTGAACTAACTTGTCAAGGCAAGGAAGAGACTTAGAATAGTTTGGTATGAGTTTTTTCTATGTGGTGTGAAAAGTGTCCAACTTACTTCATCGTCTTCATCTTCATCATCATCAGATTCAAGAACACCATCTGGTAGCTCTTCTATAACAAAAAAAAAAATCAATGAATAACCAAGAAACATGGAGGGAGCTCTGGTCAAGGCAATCCCGTGGCCACCGCAGAGACAGGAAAACACCATCGTGATAGTGAGGTTACAGCAAAATGACCTCACTCCTCACCGTTCCTGGTCAGGACCATCCAGCTTTAGTTTGGTGTCATCCTAAGTGATTTTAAATAGTACATCTCTCCATTTTTATCATATCACATTTACAGTGGCATGGGAAAAACCAAAAGCCAACATGATTCAAGGTGAATTTTGGGGCAGGAAAGTAAATGAATATTTATTTCTAGGCATCATGCTAGATGCTGCCACACGTGTCATGTCACCTAATCCTTACAGAGATTTTGTTGACTGTTGTCCCCCATTTTACAGATAAAACACGGAGGCACAGTGAGGATAAGGGACCTGTTCATGGTCACACTCCCAGAGAGTGGCAGAGAGCTGAGATTCAAGTCGAGTCTATCTCTGAACTGGAAGATTATTTCCTCAGGGGCAGGGCTGGTGGTCACGGCAGGGAGGGTCCCGAGGCTGGGGTTCACTGCTCGTCTGTCAAGAGTTTCTGAAGGACAGCAAGTCAGAGACACAATGGAGTCAGAGAAAGAGTAGCCTGCTTCCTCATCTGTCAGATGGGGATCACGCCACCTACTTCTCAGCGTGGCTGGGAGGACGTGACAATACACCAGAACTAAAGCAGCCGGCCAGGCCGGGGAAGGCAGGCAGCACAGAGACGTCAGCTACTTCCTCCGCCATGGAGCCTTCCCTGATGCCTGCGCGGAGCAGTCATCTGCCCCTCCCCTGGACACGCAGCATTTTATCTAGGACTCCTGATAGCGCACACCACTTTGGGGTGGTCACTGCTCACATGGCCACTGGGAAGCTGGGTGTCTATCTTGCCCACTCACTGGACTGCAAGTCTCTGGGGACGGGGCGTCAGGCTTGCTTATCCATCCCTATATCCCTATTACATTTTCCTTACCACTTGTTTCTTGAACAAATGACATGAAGGGAAAGAAAGCCTGAAAGAAGAAGAAAGGAGGTCAAGCAGAAAGTTGGAGAAAAGAAAGAACCAAAGGCCATTCTTGAAGAGATTTGCCAGCACACTTACAGAGGCGGCCGGCAGATGCACCTAAATCCACTCGAACACCCAACCGTTTCTTCGGAGGGAATATGTAGAAACCCCAGGACACGCCACGTCCTTGACACAGCCCTCATGCTAAAGGGAAGGACTGCACTGACGTCACTGGACCAAGGCCTGTGGGATATTTAAGTGCCCCTGCCTGGCCAGGGCTTGCATGACTCCATCACTGGCTGCCCACTGTCACGGAATGCCCTCCTGCAGACATGAGGATAGTATGCCATTCTGCATTCTGGCTGAAGTTTAATTACCTAACTTCCCTTCCCTACCCATGAACAGCATACTCCTTTCTACCTTCAGGAAGTGCCTTTCAAAATGGTGGTACTGCTATATTCACTAATCACAAACCTCTCATTTTAGAATATGGAAATCCCTTTTTTAGACTCTTGGCCATTTTGTAAGGCCACGGACAGCCCAGGCATACTCCTTTTTCTCTGCCTCTCCTGCCCAGCTCCCATTCCCCAACCCCATAATCTGTTTGCCTATTGGCTCAGATTCACCCCACAACCCAGAATAATTCAGTCCAGTGCAGGACCTTATAGACCTCAGCTCCTCCTCTCAGGCACGACTGTCTCCCATGTGTTCCCTGAGTTGGTGCACACCCCATGAGCTGCCCTCGCTCCAACAGCTAATAGGACATGGTGCTGGAGTGGCTCTAGCTCCTTCCTGAGGGCCTGCTGGGGCATCGCTCTGCCTTGCTCCTGCCCAGTGACCTAGCTGTGCCTCTGTCCTCTCATCAGTGACCAGCCAGTGTCTGTTGGTTCCCTTCACTGAGGGCCGGAGCTGTGGCCCATGCCTGGGCTAGGGGACAAACCTTCCACTCCACAGCAGAGGTGCTGTCGGCAGCTCACTCTGCATTGTCAATGTCACCATCTGGAATTTTCCTTTAGGCTTCACCAGAGTAGTCTTTCCCTGCCTGTGGATTACGTTCCTAAAATATATTTGAATTTTTATACCTGAAGACTGTAAAACGTTATGGGAAAAATAGTGCACGATTGGGCTTGAATGTGTGAAAACCCACAGAGATGTTTTTACATTTACCAAAATAAAACAAGGAAATCAGTACTCTAAATAAAGATGGTGGCAATGCCATTTCACATGTCTTAAGAATGGTAAACTGCAACAATTCACACTCTGATATTAATTTCCACTTGAGGATGAAGACGGGACGGAAGCTCTCCAGGTGCTCCCTCTCCCAGGTTTCATTTTGATTTGATGCTGGTGACACATGTCCTAATGTGTGTGTGTTTGTGTGTCTGTCTGACTCTCCATCTGATGTTCAATGACTTTTGAATTTTGTTTCAAAGTAGCAGACTCCTGGGTAATCACCTCTGGGGCGGCTGCCACTGGATAAAGAATAACTTAGGTACTTAGATGGAAAAAGAACTACTTTAGGCCTTCTTCATTTAAACAGGAACTCAATGAGCAGAGTAGGCATTTCCCCAGTTTTCCAAAATACTCAAGGTTATAAAGCCTTAGCTCTGCCATTATAACTTCTGCCAAAGCACATCTCTGACAAAAGTGTAAACTGTCTCCTTCCTCAGCACACTCCAGCAAGCTGGTCCAAGGGCCAAGGTTATGTAAGAGAAAGAGATGTTTCTTGGGCTGGAGGGGCCTGCATCCTGCTTCTGGGCTGCCAGGGAGAAGGGAAGACTGGCAAGGAAATGCTTGTGGATGTGTCTCAACGGACTGAAGCACACGGGCAGCCTGGAAGAAGATTCCTAGCCTGAACGTGACCCTGAGGCTGCAGAGCCCCCTGGCCTGGGAGGCAGGTTCTGTGTAGCTAAGGATGATGGAGCAGACAGGCAGCAACTTCCCGCCAAACTGCGGCCCACCTGGAGAAGGCAAGGGACAACCTCAGCCAGGACTGAGGTTCAGGTTTTATTTCATTTTTTTTAATATGCCAGAATAGGGGCTCAGTGTCAAAATGAAGTTATTGTGGGAAATAAAGTTCTATCTTTGCCCACCTGAATTTGGGATGAATTGCACCTGACCCGTAAAATCCAGCGAGCACGATGTTCAGATAGAAACAGGCAGACAGCCTCAAAGGGAGCAAGGATTCCAAGGCTGCCTGGCGGCTCTCCCCAGCCTGCTAACCGGGGCCCCTCGGGTACCCCTGTTTCTGTGCCCGGCAGCAATGCTACACATTGGAATCACGTGGGAGCTTTAAAAGCTCCCCCAGAGATTCTGATTTAATTGGTGTGGGGCACTGCATGAAGATTTCAGATCTCCCTGGTGACTGTCCTGTGCAGACAGGCTGTGAGACATGAGCTGGAGGAAAGGTCACCTGGGGCTTCTGGTGCTTCCCTTTTGCTTGGCCTTGGTCATGCTGCTGACTTGTGAGTAGAGATCAGGAGACTCATTCTTTACCTTTTGTTCATGAGCCGAACAGGATGTGTGCATTTGGACTTGCAGTGATGTGGACTGCTGGGTATCAGGGAAGAGCATATAGACAGGCCCAAGTGACAAACCTGGCCCCAACGTTGGCAGTGCCAGGTGCCTCTGGTGTCTGAATGGTGTCAAGATCCACAGAAAGAGCCAAGAGCTTCCTGACCACCTCTGTCCCATCCGAGGCTTCCCTGGCTGTCCTCTCCTGCTTATTATGGGATGTGGGTTGTTATGGTGATGGTGGAGGCTAGACAGAAAGGGGATCACATTGCCTCCTTCCACACTGCAGCTGGCAACATAAATTTTTCTGGAGTGAATGAATAAATGTGGAGGATGACGACCTTTTTCACGGTGGTGTTGGAAAGACTGGCACCCATTTTCATTACCTGACTCCAGGAGCCTGGGAAAGCCACCCTAACAGTGGGGCAGGATTTAGGAGGGAAAGGGAGAGGCTGTGTAAAGAGAACTTACAAGGTTAGGGAAGGGTTTCTGTAATTGCTTTTAAATTCTTTTTGTTGACTATATCCCTAAAGTGTGATAAGATACTGTTAATCTTTGGACAATCTGGCCTTGACTACCTGGAACTTTTGTGTGTGGGTTCACTTGGGTCTCTTCAGCTCCCTAAAGGCTTCTTGAAAGAAAGCTGAAGTATGACAAGCCCCTGCAAGGAAGTCCATGTGTCTTTCTGGCACATGTGAACGAGTCAAAAGAGAGACCCTAGATTCTTGCATTAAACTCACCAGAATTCAGCTGCTTGATGATAAATTCTATCTGGCGGATCATTTCGGCATTGCCTTCTTTGATGAAGCAGCGTAGGATGTCTTCCATTCCCTATAAGGATTGGAGAGAGTAATGGTTAACACTTCAGTGCTTCTGGGGAAACTACTTTTCAATAAGGTAGTTTCATCTAATCAAAAAATAACTTTTGGCCGGGCGCGGTGGCTCACGCCTGTAATCCTAGCTCTCTGGGAGGCCGAGGCGGGCGGATTGCTCAAGGTCAGGAGTTCAAAACCAGCCTGAGCAAGAGCAAGACCCCGTCTCTACTATAAATAGAAAGAAATTAATTGGCCAACTAATATATATATATATATATAAAAAAATTAGCCGGGCATAGTGGCGCATGCCTGTAGTCCAAGCTACTCAGGAGGCTGAGACAGAAGGATCGCTCGAGCCCAGGAGTTTGAGGTTGCTGTGAGCTAGGCTGACGCCATGGCACTCACTCTAGCCTGGGCAACAAAGCGAGACTCTGTCTCAAAAAAAAAAAATAAAAAAAAAAAAATAATAACTTTTGGGGGGAGGTAGAGTATATGTATAATAAAAATCCTCTGCTTAGCACTAAACATTCTTTTTGTTCTTTTTATAATTCATAGTGAAATTATTTTCTTAATTGACTATCTGACTTAATTATAACACATTTAACAAAAAAATTATTGTAAAATTTTACTGCATAATATTGCCTTTAGTTTTGGCAATATGTTGTTTTGGGAGTTGGTTTCTTTCCTGTGTTTTCCCTAGGTTTATACACTGCCTTCTGGATTTTAGGGCCAAATATATCTTTGAAAAGTGAAACTGTATGTTAAAGAGAAGTAAATGAAAAAACAGAATCTCTCTTTAAACAGATATCATTCTTTTTCTATAAAAAAAATTATAAAGTCACTATACTATGCATTACTTTCCTTATTATAATACACTGACACCAGAATTTTCAACACTGGCTAATAGAATTCCAGGGAAGTGCAGAGGTAAAAAAATACTGACTTAAGCAGTATCTAATTCCTCTCCTTCCTTTTTCCCTGTAGGATTTGAATGAGTATGTACAGCTGGAGCTAATGAGGCCTTCTTGCCACCATGAAGGGAAAATGTATCTAATAATGAACTCAAAATAGAGGAAGCAGAGTCCAGAGGTGCTGGCAGAGAAATGGATCCAGCAACATGTGACCCCTGAACAAACTGTGCCTGAAGCTTATCCTGGACTTTTAGGTACATGACCTAGCAAGTTCCCTTTTTATGTAGGCCAGTTTGGAATCAATAGCTCTAACTGAATCAAATAAGCGCCAAATACAGCTCTGAACATGTTGAGCTCTCATCATCCAAAGCAGAGCGTGACCTTCTAGAAAGGTTAAATCAAGACTGTAACTGGGATTATAATCCTAGCTCCCCCATGAATTTAATGTGTGATCTTACTCAAATTACTTAACTTCTTCCAGCCTGTTTCCTCAACTATAAACGAGGGTGACCACTTGAGCTGACATGAGATTTTTAAAGGACAAAACATATAATTGGGTGTTGGTTATGTAGATGTATACATTTGTCAAAATGCATCGAACTGTATGTGGAAGGCCTGTACATTTCACTGTAAAGTCTACCTAAAAACAGCATCTAGTCCAATAGCTGGCACATATAGATGCTCAAAAAGTGGACGAGATTGCACTTGCTGTGGCTGCTGGGGCTCAGAATAGAGGCCTGTTGGTTGAAGCCAAGGGAAGAAGGAACGAGGTTCTGGGTAACAGCAGAGTGAGAAGAGCAGACGATTAGGACAGAACTTAGGGAACAGTAACGCTGAACGGGCAGCAGAGACAGATGGGCCCACAGAGGAGACGGTGGAGGAGAGGTCTGGAAGGGAGGAAGAACTCTGAAAAGGTGTCCTTGCGTCCAGGGAGGACTTTTCAAAGAGTGCATGGTTGGCAATGCCCAGGGTTGCGTGGGACCAGTCACGGGCCTGAGCTTGTCTTACCAAAGAGACTGCCCTCCACCAATGACTGCCTTGCCCTGCCCTGCCAGGAGAGCTGAACTTTATGTCTCTATCGCATAAACGGATCTCCCCTGTTCTCATCCCCCCTGAGGTAAGGGCCAGGGGAAGGGGAACATTACCGAGCGGAGCAGTGTGGGAAAGCCCCAAGTGCCAAAGATCGCAGTCACCACTGACCAGCTGAGGAATATCAGTGTCATGAACATTTTCACAAGTGGAATGAGACCAATCATTCACTCAGGTTCTCTTCTATCTTTTCTTCCCAGATGTTACTTTTGCAAGTGATTATTTGCTCACATATTTAAAGATCTTCTTATTCTCATTTGCTCTCTTTCATATATCTCTAGTTTGATGGTCTTTTTTTTTTTTTTTTTTTTTTTTTTGAGAGTGCAGTGGCATCATTATAGCTCACTGCAACCTCCAACTCCTGGGCTCAAATAATCCTCCCGCCTCAGCCTCCCCAGAAGCTGGAACTATAGCACCCGGCTAATTTTTTTTTATTTTTAGTAGAGATGGGGGTCTTGGTTTTGCTCAGGTTTTTCTAGAACTCCTGAGCTCACGCAATCCTCCCGACCTGGGCCTCTCAGAGTGCTAGGACTATAGACGTGAGCCACTGTGCCCAGCCTCTAGCTCAGTTATTACTTGGGGAAAAAAATCATAAATTCCTTCTTCTCTGTAATGAGGAGGGTTATTTGAGAAAGCTTTCTTAATAGACAATTCTCCAGTGAGAAATGTCACTTATTTTTTTAAAATCAGATATATTAGGTAATGTTTAATCTAAATTATAGAAATAAATCATAAAAATAACCACATTTTATCCTGAAAGTAATAAATTTTCATTTTAGATAATCCAGGCCAAATAACAACGCCCAGGCATGTGGAAAAGATGATAAAATGGACTCGTGTATCAGCCGGAAACAGGAAGATGGAAAACAAGCAGTGTGTAAAAAGTCAGTAAATAAGGAACTCAGGTTCCTGCCAGCCAGCTCTGCGTAAAGACCATCATAAGGGTAATCATACAGAAATGGTATTTGCATTTATAGTGTTTAAGGAAAGAAAACAATCTGTCATATCTGGATGTCTCATCAGGTTAAAGCCCCAGCTCTGGCGCGACGCTGCAGCACAGGTGTGGAGAGCCCCTGGCCACGTGGCCCGGGCAGAGGATTTCACCCTCACGCCTCAACTTCACTGGCAGCAAAATGGGCACAAGCAGTCACTGCTTCAGGGGGACTTTGAGGGGATTCGATGAGGAAAGGCCCCTCACTGAGCCCGACAACGGCACCGAACACCACACAGGCCGACCGTCATCGGGCTCCACAACTCAACTCTGGACCCCATTTTGTTCCAGCCCAAACAGTCTAATCTTCTCTCACTAAAGGTCATCAAGGGAAATTTTCCCTTTAGAAATTCAAATAGCTATTTCAGGGGAATATAAACATCTTCCTCTAATTATGAAAGTTATAGAAGTTCTCTGTAGAAAACTTGTAAACTACATAAAAGCATAAACATTACTCACAAGCCCCTACCCAGAGACAACTGTGAACAATCTGAAGTATTTCCTTCCATTTATGTACATTATTTTACATAACTGAGATCATATTGATGATGTTTCTTATTTTTTAATTTAACTCTATGATCATTTTCATGTGTCAATAAAAATCTTATGAACATTTTCATAGCTATAATAATAATAATAATGATAGCAGCCAACATCTCTCAATGCTTACCATGTGTCAGGCACTGTTCTAAATATTGTCTATGTCCTCACGATCCTGTGAGTTTGGCATTAAAACACCTGTTTGACAGATGGGAAAACGGCTACACGACAGGTTAAGTCACTAGCCCAATGACACACTTTGGGGAAGTGGCAATGCAAGATTCAAACCCACGATGTGAACCCAGTGGGCTGAGGAGGGACCACTCTAACCACTTCCCCCTCCTGCCTGTTTGGACTTAATCACTCCCCTAATGTTGGGCATTTACATTGTTTCCTGTGTTCCACTATGGTCAACAATGATGTGATGAACATTTCGATATGTAAATCTTTGTTTATGTTTTGTGTGGAGCTCCAGAAGTAGAATTACAGGGCCAAGAATATGAATATTTTTGAGTTTTTTAAAAATACTGTATCAATTTATAATTCTCTCAGTAAAATTTCCACACTAATTAAGAAAGGCCCATAGTTAATGGGTGTCAGGGAATACAGCGGCTGGGCTGACCGCCTGTGATGGACAAGTGCCATGCCCGTGTCTGCCGCGCCTTTGCCTTTACCCAGCGTCTCCACACTGTGTTCATCTACTAACTCCCCAGGCCTGCAGCCAGGGCAGGGCGCAGGCACACGACCTGGACCAGCCAAGCAAATGCACTCACGTGACACTGGCTCGGCAGTGGGCAATGTGCAGGACCGGGCACGGGGAGATACATGTTATTTTTGCAGGAGGTGGGTAGCGCGGCCCCTAGCCCCCAGGGAGAGTGGAGGCAGAGTTTCTGGCAAGCATGAGCTGTGGCCTCAGGGTCACTGGTGCTGCAGTGGGGTCACTGGAGCAGCCCTGTGCAGTGCTTGCCAAGCTGGGCGGCTTCTAATGCCCGCTCCCTGCATCTTTTTTTTTAATTTTTAAATTTTCTTCATCCACCCTCAAGGGACCAGCTCCCTGGCTCTCCCAGAGATTCTGGGAGCCTTTATAACCAGCAGAGCATCTGGTCTGCCCCAGATGGAATGTGTGCTAGGGTTCAGGTGTCAGGGCAGAGCCCTCCTGCTGCTAATTACTCCGGCCCTCCTTGTAGGAAGCCCGTGGGGTGGGTTCGAGGCAGCCCTATTTATCTGATTTCTTCTCCAGCCCCAGACCTTGGCAACCTCTTAAAGTTCAAATGGGCCTCAGGAGACTCATTTATCTTTTTCTCCTTTTTTCTTGTATTAAGACCACTGTAATAACATTTGGTACTAATATAATTTTTATGTATATTCTCTGTCATTATCTATAAGCACATAAATGTTTTACATAATTGTAAGAACAGAATTCTTATAATGACATATTCTGTTTTCAACCCTCATTATACAGTACAATAAAATTTTCCATACTGTCTTATACTGCTTTTCCTAATTATCATCTTTAATACCTATTAATATATTGAGTAAAAGAACCATAATTTCATTAGCAATTCTACTATACTAAACATTTACGTTACTTCCAGTTTTTCACTCATAAAAATATTGAAATGAGGCCAGTGCAGTGGCTCAAGCCTGTAATCTCAGTGCTTTGGGACATTGATGTGGGAGGTTCATCTGAGGCCAAGAGTTCAAGACTAGCCTGGGTAACATAGCAAGACCCTATCTCTAAAAAAAAAAAAAGTTAAAAATTAACTGCATGGGGTGGTGCACACCTATAGTCCCAGCTATTTGGGAGGCTGAGGTGGGAGGATTGCTTGAGCTCAGGAATTTGAGCCTATAGTAAGCTATGATTGCACCATTGTACTCCAGGCTGGGTGATAGAGTGAGACTTTGTCTCAAGAAAAAAAAAAAATGAAATGAGCATTGTCATACATAGCGCTCTTCTCTGTATCAACACCCAAAAGAAAATTAATGAGGCCAAAAGATGGGTATTTTAGTGGTTTTTAATTTATACTGCCAAACTGCTTTTCAGAAGGTCTATGCTGACACATAGCATAAATACCAGCAGGGTCTGAGGACATCAGGTCTGCCTCTACTTCCCTAGCACTGTGCATGAGCAGATGCTAAGGCGGTGAGATTGTGGGGAATGTTTTCCTCATTGTCTTATTTCCTTTATTATTTGGCATTGCCAGCCTTCCTTGCAGCTGGGGTGCAGGAACACAACCTAGATTCTGCCAAGCAAATGCACCCCTGTGAAACTCATAAGCAAAAAGAATGTAATAGCTTTAGCAATCTAGAAACTTCCTCAAGGATAAAAGTGAAATGAGAGAAATCTCAGGATTTTAGGGGAACATTATTGTGGACATAACCATCCCTTAGAAGCCACTCTCATAAATAATTTACTAGGCAACTGCCTAGGTGATGTGTCCAAAAGCTTGCTATGCTCAAGTTCAAAGGGGGTCCTTCCATAGCTCAGGTCTTTAATTCCTGTTAAAATGCCAGAGAGAAGCTTGTTTTACTTATATCATTATATAAGTGACCTAAGTTTTCTTTTTAAAAGTCAACAAACCCACAGGCTGTCTAGAAACCTACATCAGAAACCATAAAGGAAAATATTAATAGATTTGAGTATAATTAAACTTGCTGTATGACCAAAAATACTATAATTTTAAAAGACAAATAAAAATTGAGAAAATATTTGTCATATTTGTCAAATGATTAATAGCCCCTAATTTCCCTAATGATAACTTCTTTGATGCATAGGATACTTAGGAGGGTGTGGCAGCACCCCAGGTGACCCCAATCACCCCAACTCCTGCTACTCACGCTTTTGTGCAGCCCCCTTACCCCCACTGTACCAGGTTGGTCTGTTAACCAATAGAATGAAAGTGATGGTATGTCACTTTTGAGAGTAGGTTCCAAAGGATGGTGTGGTCTCTGTCTTGCTCACACTTTCTCTGTCTGGGATCACTCAGCTGCCATGTTGGGAGAAGGCTGTGGAGAGGCTCACATGGGAAGAAATGAGGTCCCCAGCTAACAGCCAGAACGGAACTGAGGCCTCCTGCTGAAAGCCATGTGCGTGAGTTGGGAAGCAGATTCTCCAGCCCACAGCCTGCTTTGGCTTCCCTGGCTTAAGTTTTGACTATGACCTGAAGCATTCTTAGTTAGGACTATCTAGCAGTCTGCTCTTGAACTTCTGTCCCATAGAAACCATGAAATATAGTCATGTGATGCTTAACAACGTGATGCATTCTAGGAAATTTGCTTTTAGGCAATTTCATCATTGTGGGAACATCATAGAGTGCACTTACACAAACCTTGTGTCTCTAAACACAGCTAAACATAGGAAAGGTACAGTAAAAATATGCTATTATAATCTCATGAGACCACTGTCACATATGCAGCCCACCATTGACTGAAACATGGTTAGGTGATGCATGAAATTAAATTAAAAAAAATTTTAAGCCACTAAGCCTTGGAGTAACTGGTTATGTCACAATAGATAACTAATAACCAATACAAGTATGTGTCATTTAATTTCCAAACATTTGGGGGTTTCCTAGATACCTTATTGTTAGGTTTATATCTTTCACCAAATTTCTTCATTATCCAACCTTTTTATTTTTTTTTTATTTTTTGAGATAGAGTCTCGCTTTGTTGTCCAGGCTAGAGTGAGTCCCGTGGCGTCAGCCTAGCTCACGGCAACCTCAAACTCCTGGGCTCAAGCGATCCTCTTGCCTCAGCCTCCCTAGTAGCTGGGACTACAGGCATGCGCCACCATGCCCGGCTAATTTTTTCTATATATATTAGTTGGCCAATTAATTTCTTTCTATTTATAGTAGAGACGGGGTCTCGCGCTTGCTCAGGCTAGTTTTGAACTCTTGACCTCGAACAATCCACCCGCCTTGGCCACCCAGAGTGCTAGGATTACAGGCGTGAGCCACCACGCCCGGACTTTTTTCAGCCCCATTTTCTCATCTTCCTCTCCTTCTGGAAGTCCTGTTACGTATCTATCTGTTAGACCTCCCGATGTCATCTCCCGATGTCATCACATAGGTGTCTGAAGCTCTGTCCCTTTCTTCCATCTCTTTCTCCCTGTGACTCTCCTGGACTGTCACTCCCTCCCACCTTCTCCACCCATGCCCTGCTGTCTTTCCTCCACGCTGCACTGCGTTCTTTTCCATTTGATGTCACCTCCATTCTGTTGTTTCCCTTCGGCCTACATGTTTTTTCCTGTTCTTTGCCTTGGTTGACAATCCTTCTCTTTCACCTAAAAGACCATAATGCAGAATTTAATCTAGTTTATTTTCCTCGGTTCTTCAGTGAAAAAGCTGATTTTCTATTTAAAAACAGTAGGCAATTAAGGTCCATTGTTTAGCATGGTCACATAAAATGGTTTTTAAATAAGTTATCATCTCTGGTGTAACTGTTGACCAATTCAATTTAATAATTCTAAGTAAGCAAAACCAACTGGAAGAATGTTTTGTTGGTCTCAACCAGAATTTAGCCTGTGTTTTCATTGTGGAAATATATTTAATCTCTTCACCACAGCATATAATACTCACGCTGCTACCCTGGTTTCACACGGTGTAAGGACAAAGAACAAAACTGCAGCAGTTTTGCTGATTAGATCTAGAAACATTTGTCCTCTCAAAATAAGACACTCATCACCTGGGGCTTGTTTTTTACTTCAAATATAAGCACTAATATAAACACATTAAGTACTGAATTCACAATTTATCAACCAAACCACGTAGTGAGCAGTTTTATAATCTTTTCCAGTTTTTCTGTTCCATGTGGTTGCTATCAAAATGTCCACAACTTTGCAGAAACAAGCCTGCGGGGAACTCCCTAACACTGTGGTTCTTAACCACTTAGGAGTTAGTGATCTCCTTGAAAATCTGACAAATGCTACATACTCTCTCCCCAGAAAATTGCAAATATATATTTTGCATACAATTTCAGGGAGTTCATTAATGATCTGAAGCCCTTCTATGGAGGCCAATTGAGGAGGTCCTTCCTCTCAAAGTTCAGAATTTTGGGCTGGGCACGGTGGCTCACACTTGTAATCCTAGCACTCTGAGAGGCTGAGGTGAGAGGATCGCTTGAGGTTAGGAGTTCAAGACCAGCCTGAGCGAGATCCTCCGTCTCTACAAAAAATAAAAAAAAATTAGCCGAGCATGGTAGCACACAACTGGAGTGCCAGCTGCTTGGGTGGCTGAGGCAGGAGGAACCCTTGGGCCTGAGAGTTTAAAATCACAGTGAGCTATGATGATGCCACTGCACTCTATCCAGGGTGACAGAGTGAGGCTCTGTGTCAAAGAAAAAAGTTCTGAACTGTGGCACAATGGAGACTCACATGTTTCTCGAGCGCATTTTCTTACCATTGCTCTTGCTTCCTCACGAATGGATGGAATAGAAAGGATGCTGTACAGAGCTCCGTTCACATATGGCTGTATCTTTAAGGGAGAAAAAAACAGACATTTGCAAGTTTTCAAATACTGTGCAACTCAATTATCAAACACCACACAGGAGAACGATCTAGCTAACGAGGAGTGGGCTCCAGGATGCAGCTTCCAACTGGCAGACACTTCCATCTGCATGTCCTAGTGATAGCTGTGATAGAGTCCCAAACCAAATTCATCACTCCCTCCCACGGCTGACTCCTGCTACATTTCATTGCTTAATTAAAGTCATCTCTAACCCTTGACTGCCCAGGCTAGAAACTTGAGTCACCGTGGAGTCCCCTCTGTTCACTCCTCCTATGCTTGGCCTTCAAGCACCTTTGATAGGAACACCTCTTTTCCATATCCACTGCTGCTGTCCTTGCACAAACATCATTGTCTATGACCTAGGCTACATCAGATCTCCAAATCAGTCTCTCTACTGCCAATGTTCATCCTTTAATCCAACCATCATATCATTGCCAAAATGCTGCATCATGGGCCAAATCATCCCTCTCTCCACCTTGGAAGCCTTCCACAGAACACACCTGGGAAGGCCCAATTCTTGTGCACAGCACCCAGGCTCCTTCAAGAGCTGGCCTCAGTCTCATCCCCCTCTGCTCTTCCCTCCCTGACACCATGAAGTCTCCGTGCTACTTAAGCGACAACCCCCACACCAGGCTGTCCCATGCCTTGGCTGGGTTCTTGCAGTTGACCTTGCTGGGAATGCTCTCCACACACGTGTCTGTCTGGGAAGCTGCTTCCTCCTTTAACGCTCAGCTCAGTCATGTCTCACAGGGAGCCTTTCCTGAATCCTCCAGACAGGGCCTCACCTCTGCTCCTTGTACATCCCTCACGACTGCAATGGAGACAGTGTCCTTTAAAAATTACTTGGGTGTCCTGTTATGAGCTGTCCAAGCACAGGACCTATGTTTTACTCATACAGGTAACTCCAAAATCAAGCACACACACAACATGGTATCATGGCAGGTGCTTGATAAATGAGAGGCCCCTTTCAGTAGACTGTGCCGTGCCTGGCACCGCAATGGAAGAGGGCTTGTCCCCCACCAGCCTAATTCAGCACCAGACTTTCTTATCACTTTTAATGTTTGCCAATCCGATGGGCAAGAAAGGCATCTTATAGTTGTTTTTATTCTCATTTCCCTGACTACTAGTGAAATTGAACATCTTTTCATATTTATAGGCCATCATGGTTAACTATTTTGTGGATGATCTATTCATATTCTTTATTCTTATTTTCTGTTGGATTATTTGACTTTTAGTTATCAATTTATAGGCGCTCTTCATTTATTAGGAATATTAAGCTTTTGTTATATGTGATGTGACTTTTTTCTCAGGGTATTGTTTGTCTTTTGATTTTGATTATACCATCTTTTTCCATACAAAAAAATTTAATGTTCCTATAGTCAAATATGTGCATCTTAATGTTTTTCAAGATCACAAATATCTATAGGATACATAGGTGTCACATTTATTCGTCTATCAAACATATTTCTTTTTTTTTTTTGAGACAGAGTCTCACTTTGTTGCCCAGGCTAGAGTGAGTGCTGTGGCGTCAGCCTAGCTCACAGCAACCTCAAACTCCTGGGCTCAAGCAATCCTACTGCCTCAGCCTCCCCAGTAGCTGGGACTACAGGCATGCACCACCATGCCTGGCTAATTTTTTGTATATATATTTTTAGTTGGTCAATTAATTTCTTTCTATTTTTAGTAGAGACGGGATCTCGCTCAGGCTGCTTTAGAACTCCTGACCTCCAGAGATCCACCGGCCTCGGCCTCCCAAAGTGCTAGGATTACAGGTGTGAGCCACCACGTCTGGCCTATGAAACATATTCCAGGCTCTAAAATATCATAGTTTTTCCAGCTCATTTTCAAAGCAAATGCATTGGCAATAGTTGGGGACATAATGAATCTTTAGGTCCATTCAGTTTTCAGAGCTGACATATTGGTTCCAGTACTTGAAACCAACTTGTATTTCCCACTGGCTTCACCTGCCTGAGTTGAATAAAATGAAGAACAGAGTTCATTCGAGCCTAGGAGTTAAGAGCTCACTGGTTTTAAAATATTAAGTGCATGACACAAACTGTGACAATTACCAAACCGCTACTTGCTAAAGAGGCCATGTCAATCAGTTGATGAAGCTCTGAGAATGTAACATGTGAATGGAATGACCAGAAGAGGAGCTGTCTGCTTGAAGTGGGAACAAATGTGCGGAAACCAATGCTTCACTTGTGACCAGGTGGTACTCAATCTTGTCCTGATGAGATATACCCCCTGGGCCTGATCTGTCACATGAGGTCAGATTTTTGTGGAGGCTTTGGTGTCAGATGATACTATGGTTTCTGCAAAGGCATTTGTAGAAAGCAAGTGAGAGAATAATCATATTTGTTTAATCATTTTTGTTAATTTGCTTACCCATACCCCCACTTTATTTAAAAAGGGCAGTCTGTAGGTGGTGGCAGGGGAGGCGGTGAGGTGTGCTGGTGAGAGCAAAAGCTAGTACAGCCTTTCTGGAAGACATTTGGTGGGACTCAGTGGCCTGAAACTGACATATGCTGTGAGCCAGCCAATATCTATACCCTCCCATGACACTCTGGCATAAGACCCCGCCGGGCAGGTGCCGCAATGTCCACTGAGGACTGTGGTGGCAGCAAAGAATGGGAGGCACCTAAAGTGTAGTCCCTCAAGAGACTGGGTAAGTAAAATGGCAGGAGTGCAAACAAGGGACTACTTTGCAGGAGTGATGCTTAATGAACTAGATGTACAAAGGCCAACACAGAAAGGTCCTAAAACACAGGGGGAAAGTCAACAGAGTAAGATCCAGAGGGCAACCCATTTCCACAAATTCAATACACAATATCATATTTCTTTTAAGGCTTCATCTACATCCATGGGATATGTTAAACACACCAGAGGGAGTGTTGATACTGAGGTAGGAATGTTGGGAGCTAGACCACAAGGAGAAAAAGTACCATAGGAGAGGGCCTGGCACGGGCCAGTGAGGCCAGGGTGCCCATAAGGGAGAGGTGAAGGAAAAGCTTCCTGCTTCTGAGTTTTAAACTTTTAAAAATTATAAAAGATTTCAAGTGACTTATAAAAATACCTGGAGGAGTTGGGAACAGTGGCACACACCTATAATCTCAGCTACTTGGGAGGCTGAGGTAGGAGGATCACGTGAGCTCAGAGGTTTAAGACCAGGTTGGGCAACATAGTGAGAACCTGTCTCAAAAAACAAAAAAACAACCAAAAAACCCAGAGGGGGGAGAATATATACCACTTTGCAGACACTGTAACTTTTCTGTAAGGTCACAGGTGCCAAGTACCCAGAGCAGCCTCCCCAAGCCCAAGGCCAGCACTGCTGGCACATACCTCATGGTTCTCATGGCCAAGCAGATCGGAAAGGACCTTGAGCACGACGCCTGGCACCTTGGCACACATGTTCTTCCCTGTAGGAAACACCAAAACAAACATGACACGTCTAAACTCAGAAGCACAGTTTTAGGTCAGTCAGACTTGGGTACAAATCTTGGCTCCTCTGCTTATGAGCTATATGACCCTAGATGAGTCAACCAACCTAGGCCTCAGTTTCCTCCTCTTTAAAATAGGGATTATTATTAATCTTTACCCCAAAGGGTGATGCAGAGGTAAATAAGCTAATGTGTATAAAGGACTTAGAATAGCACGGAACCCAAGTGTTCAGGAAATGGTGGTGGTTCTCACTAGCCAGAGCACAGAGTGATTCACTGGAGTGAAAGTACAACACATAACAGAGCAATGTTCTACCTTCCAAGTGCATATACCACTAGCATAAAAATCATACATGTATTTTAGTAATTCCAGACATCATAATAAACACTGCAAATAAATCAATAATGAAAGAAAGCTGATAAATGTATTAAAAGTTAGGACTTTTTGCATATGCTATTGTTTAAAACAGAAGACTAAAAAACAGTCATTTACTCAGTCAATATCACACAGTTATGAGGTTCAGATTACAAAGCATCTGAAGGTGAAGATGCTTCCAACAAATACCCTTGAGCTGGCTATTCACCCAGGTAAGCTTTTTCTCTAAACTCTGCAGCTGCTCAGACTGGAGGTGGCCACAGCCTGGACTTGGCACTTCTTCTAAAGGAGCCTCTCTCATCCCAGCCAACAGAGACTTTCAACGGGACATACTGCGGAAAAGCTACAATCACCACTGTTACTGATGGTGTGAAGGACCTGAGATGCCCACAGGAGCGCCCCCTCTCCAGAGGTGGTGGGGAGACGACTGAATGCCAGCAGGAAGCCGGGTTTATCATCACTGTCCCTGCCACCGACCTAATCCTATAGGATCTGGGAATACACTTCTCACTCATCAAAGAAGGGGATCATAATTCTCAACTTCTTACATTCAAATAATGCAATGAAGATGAAGGAAAATGTAAACGAATTTAGTTTCCTCTTAATGTGGGCACTGAACAGATATAAGAAGTTCTTTCCAAGGGCAGAATGGTATTTTGGCTTCAGGGATTGACCAGCTTTACACCTAGTTGGAGATGCTTTCCACTTATTGTTCTCTTTTCAGTTTTCTAAGAGGAGACTGAGAGCAAACCATGCAGGCTCACTGGTCATCCAGATTCGAGGGCCAGGATTTTGTCCCCTCCCCTACCACAATGGGGGCAGGGCTGTGAGACCTGCACTCCGGAGGCAGAGGTTCATGAGCAAAGCCACCGAGTACTCCAGCGTGTAGTCAGACAGGCAATCTGGCTCCTTCAGAATATCAATCAGCCAGAAGATGAGGCCGTCTTGGATCATTGCTGTCTGCAGCGGGCGCCTAGGAAGAAATAGCCTAAGGTAAATTAAAACGTGCAAGAAACTTTTCATATAAGATTATATAGTAATGTGGCCAGGTGTGGGAGCTCACACCTGTAATCTCAGCACTTTGGGAGGCTGAGGCATGAGGATCACTTGAGGCCAGGAGTTCAAGTCCACCCTGAGCAACATAGTGAGACTCCGTCACTACAAGAAGTAGAAAAATTAACTGGGTATGGTGTTGTGTGCTCCTGTAGTCCCAGCTACTTGGGAGGATGAGGCAGGAAGATTGCTTGGGCCCCAGAGTCTGAGGTTACAGTGAGCTGTGATGACACCACTGAATGCTAGCCCAGGCAACAGAGCGAGATGCTGTCTCAAAAAAAAAAAAAAAAAAAAGCATATGGTAATGTGAATGCATAGCAGAAAAGACAAGACTGTACAGAAGATATAGATTCTGAGGACTATTTTATTGTTAAAAGCATACAAATGAAACAATAAAAATTCTTTTCTTTGCAGGGATATTGCTAAGCATTTATAGAAAGATAAGGAAGCTAGTAGGCCTTCTACTTTGAAAGCTTCCTTGTCAATATTTAAAATTAGAGAACATTACTTCAAATATTTAATATATACTTGCTGATATTCTACTTACTCAATGCACGAAACAGGGCCATAGAAATACTTCCTTGACAAATAGATTTTTACCTGTGCTCTATATAATCCAGCTTATGCACTTTGAGCTGTATGAATATAAAGAAAAACAAAAAAGAGCACAAACCCAGCTTAATACCATTTGATTCAGATTGCTATCATAGGGTAAGGGTAGTTTAACAACCTGGGTAATACTAATTATAAAGAATGATTTTCCACCCAAAGTCCAGGTATAAAATCTTACAAAATCCAATGCCCCATCAAAACGTGTAATGGTGAATGTCATCATGTCAGCTTTAAGAACTGATGAGACAAAACGTGACAGGAGAAACCATCTGAATTATTTGAAAATCAAAACACCATGGAGAAGCCAGCACTACACATCTCCTGATTAACAGGTTATGGAAAAACAACCACCCGGGACAGAAGAACAAAGCCAGTGTCCCTTCATGCTGTTCTTTTTTTTTTTTTTTTTTTGAGAAATGCTTTTATTAAGCAACGCTTTTGTAAACTGATGAATTATGAAACGTCCCGCTTGCATAGATACCACTCTTTTTAAGAATCGAGGCTCTTCGTGTCTGTTTTCCACTTTTATCAATCTCCTTTTTTTATCTTATGTACTTTTTCCCCTTAGATTT